GTTTTTGATTCTCGATATCTTTTTGATCACATTTAGAACATTTTTTCATATTTGTAATATTTACTCCTGTAGATGTTATAAGAGAGTCGATAATATTAGTATTAGATAACTTTTCTTCCAACAGCAAATTAAGAATTTCATTAAGATAAAGATGCAATTCTTCATTGATGACTTTTTGTATTTGAATATTGACATCAAAAAGTTCATTATACTGTAATCTGTCAAGAGAATCACAAACCCAAGACAATTCGTTATGCTGAATTTTGTTTTGCAGCATCATATTAAAACCAACAAAGCTAGTGACAATATGGTAAATAACCGTATTAAACCCCTGGTCGAGATAATTTTTCTGCCCCCTTTGCTCATTATCAAAAGCAAGAAACAAAAGGCCTTCGGGTAATGGTTCCTTATACTGTGACAATTTTTCTAGCCACTTTTGAAATCGATATTTGCTTCCTGAATTCGTAATATAATTATCGATATTAATAATCATTCTTGACCTCACAATCGAATATTTAATAGCTGAGAGAGCAAGTTGAACTTCTGATACATATTTTCCGTAACGTGCTCTATATATCAAATCAACGGCAGTGGCTGTTTTGAAAAGCTTTTCCTGACTTAAATTGGAATCTCTTTTATTGTGAATCAAGGTTTCTATGAATTTAACAACAACCTGATTACGTCTATTTAACCACTCGCATAGACTATATGCCATAATACACTCCATGGTAAACCTATTATTATCATGAATTAACAATTCTATATCCTCAAACAATGATATACGCTCTGGAATGTGGGTAGGGTTAGGGTATAAGATTCAGGAGTTGAATTAGTATAAAATTTAAATTCATAAGTTAAAATATTAATATTCTCAAAATATGTTCATTATATGCCAACGGCATCCCGCGACAAACTTGTAAAAAATAAAAATAAAAAATAAAAATGTTTCACACCAACCTGCATTTGCTATCTCCATAATTGTATCCATACACTTTTGCTGACTAGAGAATCTAGAGTTCCACCGTTCAATAAGAAAATCATTACGCTTTTTTTGTTCGTCACACATGTTTAAAGTTCAACCATATTTCTGTAAGCCTTTTCCAATTTAGTTTTTAATTCCTTCATTTCATTTTTTTTATTATCAAAATACTGCAGCATTCTTTCAATTCGATTGTTAAGTTCTTGATTTTCAAGTCGAGCAAGTTCCAAAAGCTTTTTAGTCCTTTCAAGCTCAGCCGCCAAATCAGTATCGAGTCGAGATCTTTTTTTTTCTTGAAAAGTACCTACAATATGCTTATAAAATTGATCAGAGACGATTTGATTATAATATATCGAACAAATAGAATAATTTTCTAAAGAACGACTAGAAAGTTCAGGAAAGTAGTTATGAAAGTATTCAAGGTGCTTAGCTGAATGTGGGCCATTTGCATTTCTCTATTTTCCTATTCCACAAGAATTTAGATCATATATAGTAACTAAATCTGCGAATATACATTCAAGTTCTGTCGCTTTTTTCTTCTGGTAGCTGGACACTATAAAAAAGCAATTAAATAGTGGTTTTAGTTAGCAAGATCATTCTTTTATCTAATACAATTCATAAAGAAATTCTTATTTTTAAGGTTTCATTTACTTTTTCAAAAACAGTTACTACAAGAGATTAAATGGGATTAAAGAAAATAGAAGTTCTACGCTGCCTATTAGTATATCGTTTGATATTGAATGAATAAAAAACTCAAAATGAATATGGAAGTAAAACTATAAAAAAAGGTGCACCGTAAGTCAATCAAATTCACGAACATGTACGTAGATCATTCTAGAACATGATCTTCTAATTTGGTAAATTGTCAGACTGGAATAAAGAAGCTTCTATGGAAAAAAAATTATATTTGTGATGAAATTAATACCAGCAGAAATTTTTACTATTAAATCTCGATAACTTTGAACCAAAATTATAGCACTGCCACAGACAAAATTCTGATAATCCAAAATTTTATTCTAACATATGTTGTGACTGAAGTTGGCATCTGCCTGAAAGTTGGAACTTCAGTAGATTAGAGGGTCCACCAAAATTCAGCAAATCGGCCTGAATTTAGGTCGGAATAGGCCGAAATTAACAAATTTTTTCTAATATCACACAAATTTTACTAATAAAGTGGCAGCTAGGGTTGTATTACAAAAATTACAATTTTACATTTCATGTAAATTTCAGTAACTTGAATTTCATATAAATTTCACACATACTAGCACTATGAAAAACTCAGCTAGCATTATTGAACTATAGTAGATTCTGCATAAAGTTCACTGACCAAATCGATGTACATATGATCCAACCAATCATATGAGCATATGATCACGTTTCTTACAAATTACATGAAAAACCACTGAAAACTTACGCAAAATTTTACAAAATTACATAAATTACGTTAATTTGACAACCCTAGTGGCAGCCTATACACTAAGTAAAGCTGCCCAAATGATAATTTTGCTATTATATAATTGGCCGGTATTATTGCTAATGCCCACTTTGCTCCGGCCCATCTCTGACCCCAAATTCGAGCCGATTGCTGAATTTTGGTGATCCACTAATCTATTCAAACTTCAGGTATACTCTCCTGACATAAATCACTGGATTTTTCCAAAATTGATGATGATCATCTGTATGACTCATTGTTTACAAAAATTTTTTTTTCTTGAAAATTACTATACTGGCCCCAAAAAAAATTTTTTTACGGTTTTATTTGAATCTACTAGTGTGTCTATTTTTTTTTTTTTTTTACTATAAAACAACGGAAACAGCTTACCATCGAACAATGCAACCAAATTATTGGTGCTTGGAAACCCGGTGTGAAGCAAATAAGAATCGTAAAAACTCTAAAACTTCTAAAAAGCACTGTCAATAATATTATTACATACTACAGAAAGACTGTGGAAACTGTACCTTATCTTTGTCCTGAACAACCTCCTAAAATAACTGAACGTTGTGTTCAATATCTAACCCACATTTTAAAAATGGACAGGAAAATTACGCTAAATGTTTTGACAAATAAATTCGTTAAAGCAACCTCTATAAAAATATCTACACAAACTATACAACGGCACCTCCACAATGAAGGGTTTTATGGTTGGGTTGGTTTAAGAAAACTATTTGTAGATGATGAGTCTCGTGTGGCTCATTTGAATTAGGTAACTGCAAAAATAGGCTGAAATAAAAGGTGGAAAAACGTTATTTGGAGTGACGAATCAAGGTTTGAGGTGTTTGGAGAGGATAGTTGTAAGTATGCTTGGAGGAAACCAAAAGAAAAATATGATGTTAAATGTTTAGTTTCAATATTTAGATCAGAAAGGTTAGGTGTAATAGTTTGGGGTGTTTTAGTTTATACGGTTTTGGATCATTAGTTCGGGTTCATAGCAGGATGGATTCGAAAGATTATATAGAAATTCTTGAAACTTGCTATGTATCCTATTTAAACAATTTAATAAATGTAGTCAGTCAAAAAAATTCTGTGTTTCAAGATGATAATGCTAAAATTCACACTTCTAAATTTACTGAGAAATGGTTTAAAGACAATCATATTGTGCAACTTCTGTGGCCTTCATATAGTCCTGACCTCAATCCTATCGAACATTTGTAGAATAAATTAGAGTGTTGTATATGTAAGCACATTCCTCTACTAAGCGATGAGTCAGAACTCTTCAATTTGCTCCAGGAAGAGTGGTTTAAAATTGATGGTTCTTTTTTAAAAAATCTTGTTGAAAGTATGCATCGGCGTGTTCTTGCTGTAATTGCTGCTAATGGATACCCTACACGGTATTAAATTATATAAATAAAATTTATATATATAGTTGCTAAATAAAAAAATTATGAACTGAATTATTATGTAGTTTGTTGAGAATTCACAAATCAAAAACCTGCAAAAAAAAATGATCGTTATATTGTTACCAAAAAAAATCTAGTGATTTATGTCAGGAAAGTATACATGAAGTTGGCACCTGCCTAAAACAGCCGACTTCAGCTACAACAAAATGATCTTCAAAATCAGCCAATCTTAATAAAACCCACTATGCTAGCCTGACCTCTAATTCAGATGTTTGTAACATAGCATCTTTGTTATATAAGATTGAGGTGGATATTTCTAAATTCAGTAGAATAAAAGGTTAGACTTTCATTCAGCTCCAGCCAACAAATACTGCATATTATATATTCTTCTGCATCAGTCAACTTAATATACTTTAACTATCTTTAAACATTTCAAATGTCTAATATGTGATCAAAGAAAATAATACAGATATCTGGATCTTTAAAAATGTAATGGATAATCTGAATTGTATCAAAATCCATATTAGATGAAAGTGCAATTGACTTTTTAAGTAAAATAGATAAAAATTTTATATATATATTCTTAAATTTATATACAAGGGTAATCTTTTTGCCTTAAAATTGGCATAGATAAAAAAATGTTTATATTAGTAAATGTATAATTAAAAGGATATTGAAATGTCAATTCTTATTAGCAATTAAATAAACAGTTGTAAAAGTTCAAAAGAACAAAATGTAAAAATATTCTAAACTATAAATACTAACAAAATTTCATGCGCATTCAGTTAAATGTTTTTATTTGTTACTAGACTAAATGTATTATCTTTTATCTATTCTAAATATTACTACCATCCTTTTTATTTATTACATTAAATAAACATTGATTATTTGGTTTTCATCTCTTCAATTGCAGCTAATACTTGAGTTATTTGTAATTTGCACTTGGGAGTTCACCACGGCCTGTGGATAATCACTGATTTGCATAATTCGTTTTGTAATGATTTGATACCATCAACTTTAAAGATATCTTCAAGGAAGTTATGTTAGTAATTTAATTCTTCAAATGTATTGCTAGCTTTCTTATACATTTTCTATACAAAATAAATAAATCTTGCATTATTTTCTTTGACATCAAAATGAACAAAAACTAGTCATACTACTATAATAGTTATGCACATTCCAATTAATAAAATTTAATACTTACTGTTAGATGTTTGAAGATTTTTATTGTTGGTTTTAGCTTTTTGATATGAGTTAATTTTGTTGGTATCTCAAAAGTTGGTCTGGAGTAAATGATATAAAAATTGTTTACTAAATTTTCTACTAGCAATTGCCCAAAAGTGTCTGCAATTTGTATATATGGAACCTTGATAGTATTTACTTGCTCATCTGTTAGTTCTTTACTTAACAACCCATTTAGAATCAATTGGTTGATTCTAGCCGATCGACAACGATCTTTGATTGCTTTGGTTGGAATAGCCCGAGTGCAAAACTCCCACTCACCAAAATCTATACCGGTTGAACTTAAAAATCTAACATTATACTTTTGGCCTCTTTCATAAACCATAGATTGACTCAAGGGACAAAATGATTCTCACCTTTTGTACAAAATTCTTGTAAGTTTGAAGCTTTATACTATAAAGAACCAAAAACATTATTTATTTACTATTTACAGTAAACACCAGTTCTATTTTGTAATCTATTTATAATATAGGAACATTCCTTTATAATAACATCAATTTTGGTATGCTGCTCACCACCACAATCTAGCAGATCGTTACTGTCTTTAACATAATAAAGGCTATAGGACAAATTGAAAAAAGATAATAAAAATTAAAAAAATAATAATAAGAATATTGTAAGTTATAAACAATAAATAAGTATATAATGATACTTACAACTCACTATAGATTTTAGTTATTTTATAAAACCATGTATTGGAAGACATATTTGTATGTTGATCATTGCAATATTTATATATAGTAATTATATCGCTTTTCTTCACTATCTATGTATATACACGCCAATAAAATAATATATAAGATAAACAATATTAATAAGACAAATAATAAATATACTTTTGTATATTTACTGTCTCCACATTTTCAATGAATTTATTAATGTCATTTGTGAATTCAGGAACTTTTAGACTTTCTTCACAAAATTTCATAATATCCTGATGTTCATCTTTAGAAAACCACTCTCATATAGGCAGAAAGATCAATAATTCTTGACATTCCGTATCTTAGAGTTGCCTTTTCTTCTGCCATCAATTTTATTTTATTTTTAAGCATTTCTATATGCTTTGATATATTGACAGTAAAAATTTTTGTAACAAATTTTTCTAAAGATAAACACCAATCTGGTATATTACTTAGTAGGGACGAACTGAAAATATTATCCAAAGTAGGGACTTCTTCTTCATCTTCATATTTGATTAATATATTATCGTTCTCTGTATCATTCAATAAAATAAAATCTGATAATAGCGGTCTTATTAGTTTTGTACCGTCAGGAAGTATATTGCCAGAATGATTCATATCATTATGCTGTAGTAATTTGGTTTAAGTATATTTAAAAACACATACTAAAATATAGTTATGAATTAAATAATTACTTGAATCCAAGGTGATAGTGATAAAAATGAATTAATTTGATGTAGAGGAGTATATTGTATTCGTTTATCCTGAGAATTTGCTTGAATAGAGAAATAGTCATTTATTCTCTTTCGTTTTACAAGAGAATTTTAATCAGTCTGATCGATCTGCAATATAAAATGCAAAAAAAATTGGTCAGTTGATTCTTATTTTATAAAAAAAATAGAATCTTTTGCAGTATAGGTAATACTATTAATAGAATGTATTATTAATCTATACTGCAAAAGATCTGAAAAATATATGTTGATACCTCTCTATGATTTGTTTGTGTTGTCTTCTTTGATAATACACTAGGGGCGGTTCCAGAAATATCAGACAAAATTGTCAAATTGTAAACGTCATGAATGATAACTGAAGGAACAGCTCCTTTCTTATTTAATCTATGCTTTTTTTGACACATTTGTGATCAACACAAGTTTTCTTGAATAAAAATAATTAGTTGGATTAGTATTCTAGATGTTATATCATTCAGCTTTTTAATCCAATGTTCAACCCCATCAAGTTAGCAAGCAGCTTTGAACACAGGCAACCGAGCAGGTCACCTGCACCTTGTAGAACCAATATTGGGTCAGTAAGCAGCTTTGAACACAGACAACCAAGCAGGTTATCTATGTAGGGTAAATGGCATGGCTAAAAAATCTTGCATGCCATATGGCATGCCAACCGCTAAAGTTTGTGCCAGGATGCCACCCTGGCATGCCATTAAACCACGCGATAATATACTCAATTGGGATTGGTCAATTATCGTCTACTATAAAATACCCTTTCAGAATACTTTGGAGCATTGCTCCAATTTTCTTATATTATTTTCAGAACCTTTCAGAATATATATAAATGGCATACCTATAGGCAATCTGGGCATTGGACATGCCTATAGCATGCCACCATAGGCATGCCACTCTGGCATGCCAATAATCTCTGTGCCACTCACTCTACATCTATGCCCCAACACCAGTTTTGTAGCTTAGCAAATGATTTTAAATGACAACAACCAAGCAAGTTCCTATTACGCTATGATTATCTACCTATGTATGCATGCATGTATATTGTTCCAGCAACTATTTTGTAGTTCAGTGAACAGCTTTAAATAACAAACGAGCAGGTTCCTATCATGTCACGATTTTCTACCTTTGTATACATACACATACCTTTCTATATCTATCAAGTAGTTTCTTTGCTTTGTTTTTTCTCTTGCCTTGCTTATGGTCAAAACTATTTTCAAGACATTTAAGATACCTATCTATCTTTCATTCAAAGGAGCTCTCTTTGTATTTATCAAGAAACTCAATGATATTCCATTTAGTGGGCTTATGGTTGAAATACGTGGTCGTTAATATAGGACTAAAACAAGTAAATATTTATTTGGTGATTCGTTGAAATCATGAAGATTGAGCTTTAGTGTGCAAGAATGTGTTTAGTAAGTGATATAGACGTTCAAATGATAAATAATGATTTATATCATATTTATCCCTTAAACTGTAGGCTTTTCCAGGAAAATTTGCCTGGAAAATTATCATAAATATTGTTATGATCTACTTTTTTTAAATTTTAATATAATTAAATAAAATTTTTTTTGATAATATTTGAAAATAAGGATTATATTATAGCAGTAT